CAACCCAACACTCCCATGGCCACTAAAGCATGTCCTGAAGTTTATATTTATATAGATGGCTATATTTTTAACTTTCTATCCCCAGGCTAGGATCCAGCAGGGCCCATGGCCAGCCCCAGAAGCTGGGGGTTGCCAGTGCTCCCTTGGGCTCGTGGCAGAAGATGCAGGGTGGGAGGGATGCAGGCACCCAACCCAGCCCTGCCAGCCCCCTCCTGAGCCTTCAGGAAGCGTTTTGGGGGGGTACAAAGCCCGGCAAAGCGTGCAGAGGGGGCAGGAACAGGGCTGTCCCTCCAGCCTGCCCCCCAAGAAGGGTGGGACGTGCTCCAGCACCCCCTTACCTGCGCCCAGCTGAGGTTCTTGTTGGTCAAGTGATAATGCACCATGCCCTGGTGCTCGTGTTTCAGGACACTGCCTGGGAGAGACCAGCAAGCAGAGGCTCAGAGTTAGGACAACTCCTGAAGCTCCTGACCACCATCCTGCCCTCCCCTGCCCCAGCAGCTCACGGTACCTGGGAAAGTCTTCTCCACGAAGGCCTTGAAGGCCAGCAGCTCGCCCTCCTCCTCGCTCCGTGTTTTGGCCAGCAAGGTGTAGCCACTGCCAAACTTGCTCTTCAGGTGCTGGGGGCTGCCCAGGCATTTGAACTGCCCGTTCACCATGATGGCCAGCCGTGTGCACAGGGCCTCGCACTCCTCCATGCTGCAGGACAGAAGAGGACTCGCTCAGCAGGGCAGAAGCAGTAAGGGAGAACAGCAGAAGCTTCTAGGAAGGGGCTGGGTGTGGATTCCCTCCTCTCTGGCCTTCCACAGGAGGGAGATTTGGGTCAGGGCAGGCACTGCTGGCTGCTATGTGCCCAACCACGGGGCGCTGGAGGTGGGTCCCATCCCTTGGACCCCGCCACCCTCCTGCTCACTCCCCAAACGCTCCGGCCAAGCCCTGCCCAGACAAGCGTCACCTGTGGGAGGTGAAGATGATGGATTTGCCACACTCCCGTGTCCGTGTCACTGCGTCCCAGAGCAGACGCCGGGCCACGGGGTCCATGCCAGTGGAAGGCTCATCCAGGAAGATGACAGGGGGGCCCCCGATGAGGGCGATGCCAGCGCTCAGCTTCCTCTTGTTCCCACCGCTGCAGACGGAGACGGGACGGGCACAGAGTCCCGACGTGAGCCCAGGGAGAGCCCCAGGGGGCGAGGGGCAGAGGGGATGGGGCGCCTCCACGTCTCCTCTCACCTGTAGGTCCTCACGAGCTTGTCTGCGTGGGGCTCCAGGAGCAGCCCCCGCAGCATGTTCTCCACGCAGCTGCCGCTGTAGCGCTCGGGGATGCCCCGCAGCCGGGCGTACATGCCCAGCGTCTCCCGGCCCGTCATGTGCTCCAGCAGGGCATCAAACTGGGGGCAGTACCCGATCCGCTGCTGCACCTTGGGGCCAGAAGAACCCAGCGGGGGTGAGCTCGTGGGCAGGGCTCTGCAAGGAGGTGCCCGAGCCAGGAGGTGCCTCGGCACCCGCAGGGCTTTGCTGCACCCCCGCAAGGTTTGCGCTCAGAGCGATGGGGACAGAGAGGTGGCTCCAAAAGTGCAGGGGAATGAGAGGGAAATGTTCCCGTCGCTGGAGCAGCCGGGGAGGGACACACAGAGCAGCTCGGGATGGCCACCGTGTGGTCTCCCCCTGCGCTGCCCAAGGTTCCTCGCTGTGAGGGGCCACGTCAGGTGGCCCAGGCTCTCGGGAGAAGGACAGTGCTGGAGGGGCTGGACCCTCCCCATCTCCTGGTCTCCTCTGGGGACAAAAGTCCAACAGAAGGCAGAGTCCCAGGGAGGAAGCAAGCAGGGTCAGGCTTCCAGGACACCCTCCCCATGTTCTCCTCGCCTGACACTGCCTGGGGTTGACAGAAGAGGTGGCCAGAGACTGAACTGAAAGCCTGGCCCCTGCTCATCTCCTGCATTTCCAATGGGACTGGGCAATTCCCAGCACCGAGACCTCAAGCAGGGGTCTGGAGAGGTCTGATGTCCTTGTTTTAGGGAGACCACCATCACTAACTCACCTTTTTCACATTCCCAACTACAGAACTAAACCTTTGGTGAAGGGTTTGCCACCCTCACTAGCTTTAGCTTTCACGTCAGTCATCCCACTGCTTCCATGAGAGTGGGAAGCTGGGCCACATAAGGACATGACATCCTGAGACACTACCTCCAGCCCTGGCAACTGCCACCATGTCCTCTTTGCAGACCTTTGCATGGTGGCCCAGGCAAGCTGGCCACAGGACTGCTCATAACGCCCCCTCTGCCCCCACTACCTTCTTGATGTTGGCCAGGATGCTGTGGCCATCCACAAAGGCATCCCCCGACGTGATGCTCTCGTCACCAGTCAGCATCTTGAAGGTGGTGGTTTTGCCTGCTCCGTTGAAGCCCAGAAGGCCAAAGCATTCCCCTTTGCTGACTGCCAAGGAGATCCTGTCCACCGCCAGCAGGGACTCCCGGCTGTCGTAGACCTGGTGGAGACCAGCACATGAGCCACGCTGGTCACCCCCCAAGGCACAGACAGGCTCCCCAAGAGGACCCCGAGCCAGCTGGCAGCAGGGTACTCAGGAAGGGCCATGCTCTCCTCACCTTGGTGAGCTCCTTGATGACCAGAGGGCTGCTGAGAGATGACAGCAGTTCTGGGGGCGACTCCAAAACCTTCTTCCTCTCATCTGCTACGTCCCGGTCCTCTGGCAGCACAGACACCCTGTTCAGCAGTGCCACCTGAACGTGGGGGAGAAAAAACACTCAGTGCCACCTGGCTTCTGTGGGACAAACGGGTTCCTCCAGTGCCCTCAACACAGGTAGGATCCATCCCTTCAATCAGCCACCTCTGGGGATGCCTCAGGCCCTTTACCAGCCCATACACCCAAGAGCATCAACTCCTCCAAGCAACCTGCTCCAGGGATGCTCCCTGGGAAGATGATGCAGGTGAAGAGGGCCTGCCTCCAGCTCGCAGGGCTTGCTCTGGACAGCACCTTTACTTCCCACACACTTCAGCTCACCCACTTGCGCCGCCTGCAGATGCCACAGACCAAGGTTCTCAGTCTCCAGAGGAGGTTGGTCTCAATGAGGAAAAGGACGAAGAGGAAAGAGAAACCCTGGATGGTCAAGGAGGTCAGGTACCGCCCGATCCCAGGCGTCTCCCAGGAGAAGTAGTTCATCTGATAGCTGATATCTGAGCAGAGATGGAACAAAACCAAGACTTGGATCCATCCACACTCTTGGGAGGTGCAGATAAGGTTCACAGAAAGCTGTGAGCCCAAAGCTTTGCCAGGCTCATCTCCAGCCCAACCCACACTGGGCTCCCTGCCCACAGCTCTTTCCAACACTCATCTCCAGCCCAGCCCACACCGGGCTCCCTGCCCACAGCTCTTTCCAACACATCCCACAAGAGGATTTAAGTCTGGAGAAGATACCCAGTGGAGGCACAGACTGGAGATAAGTCACTCTTGGGACTGGGACTTTCTTTGCTCGTCTTCCCCTAGCCCACATTCCCCTCCAAGTCTTAAGTAAGGAAAAGGCTCCTTAATTGGGTCACCCATCAGTGTCTTTGTTTTAAAAGGGTACCTGGAGCTACGGCCCAGATTTGGTTAAGGCCCCATGACACTGCCCAGCTCCACCACCCAGCCCACAGAAGACCCCTCAGTGTGGCTGCGGTGGGACGGCCAGGTGAGGACCAACACAAGACACTCACTGAATGCCTTGCAGATGAAGATGGCTTCAACAGAGGAGGTACAAAACTGAATGAACTCATAGTTCTGGTAGAAGTCACTGATGCATTGACCCAAGCAGTAATTGGGCAAGACAAGAAAGACTTTATCCAGGGTTTTGGAGAGGTCCACCAAGCCCAGCTCTGAAAGAGGAGCACAAGATGGTTAAAGGATTGGAGCTGGTTTTTGAGAAAGAGCCTGATACTTCCCAGGTCTCAGGAAAACCAACAGAGCTTTGTCACATTTAATGGGTGAGACTGGACTGCATGGGGCTTTCTTCTAGCGTGGGGACAGCCCCTGGGGTGAAAGAGTCCCCCTGGGGGCTGGATCTTCATGGGGAGGGCAGGGTGAGTGCTGGGCAGGCGTGGAGGGCAGCGACCCACCTGGGATGCTCATGATGGTGACTGCCAGGAAGGTGGCTGTGCCCGAGAGGATGTTGAAGATGGTGAGGCGGGTGTAGGCCGTGGCTGCCACCGAGAAGAAGAAGCTGAGGAGGTACATGAGGGGGATGATGGCCCAGCCGTACAGGAGGAAGATCAGCATCACATCAACGAGGTGGCTGTCTTGGGTGAAGGCTTGCACGTCGAAAGCTTGGAATATCACCTGGGGCACAGCAGTGCAAGGAGAATGCATGTTTGTCCTGACCACAAGTGACGTCTCCTTGTCTCAAGAGGTCAGGCAGGAAGGTCATGGCGGCATCGCACTGACCCGGATGACCCCTCACAGATGGTTCCTACCATGCCTGTCCCCAAGGGAAGCCCTCTTTCTGCAGATGGGGATGCAGAAGCCCAGATCTGGGGAATTCCTGTCCATGTTCCCATGTATTTGAGACCTTGCAGTGCCCACACTCAAGTGTTCAGGTGCCAGAGGCTGCAGTCAGTTGACCCAGCCAGTTGGCCACGGCCCCGGGATCAAGCGGACAACTTTCTTGGTGGTCCTTTCTGAGACAACACCAGTGGCCTCACCCTCTTCCCTGCACCCACCCACAACCCAACACTCCCAGAGGAGCAGCACCCAGAGCTCCCACCCAAGGGGAGGAGACAGGAGAGGATCAGGGGCGACTCACCAGCATCAGAGCGCAGGGGATGAGGAAGTTGATGATGTCCCAGAGCAGGGCAGAGAGCCAGAAGTTGACGACGTAGACGCCGCTGACAAACTGGACGTGCTTGGCTTTGATGGCCCGCTCGCTGACCAGCAGCAGGGCGAAGGTGCTGGCCAGGGAGGCCATGCCATACAGCAGGTTGATGGCGATGGCAAACCCGGTCTGGCCCCTGCAGGGAGAGCAGTGGGGCAGCTCAGGATGGGCACAGCACTCCCACAGCCTGCCTCTCGTGGAGGCTACGCCCACCCAGCAAGCCAGCGGGCAGCACACGCACCCCACGAGGGAAGTGCACCTCAACAAGACGTCAGACAAGACAATCTCTCACGCACAGCCCACCCAGTATGCCAGAAACCTCCTCCCTGCCATTGTGAGGTCCCACACACGTCCCCTCTGGTAGAGGTGAGGTTCAGAGACCCCAGGTATGGCCACATGGCCCCCTCTACTCAAACAACCCCAGCCAGTGTCTAAAGGGCAATACCCAGCCACTGAGATATGGGCACGGGGCGCCGTGGCTGCCAGGCTGAGGCAGGTAAGCCATGTACACAGCTCTGCTCTCCTGACCTCCCGAGTACAATCACAGCTACGCCTGGGTCTGACAAGCTCCAGCCTGTCTCCCCCAGTACCACCCAGCCAAGCTGCACCCGTGGCAGGCACAAGCAGGCAAGCAAGCGCCGTGCCACCAGACGCACTCCATGAGCTGGTCTTTGGCCTTCTCGGTGATGTTGCGGGGCTGAGGGTAGTTGGTGACTGTGATGGAGGCGTTGGGGCCCGCCAGCAGCCTGAAGACAGCGTTGTCAGCCAGCATGAGGGCCGTGGCCGGGGAGTGGTAGGCCTGGTTGTTGAAGAGGGCGGTGACCAGCGTGCGGTTCCCGGCCCCTTCGAAGGAGGCGGCTGCGATGTAGTGCTCGTTGAAGGCTCCCCCTTCCTCAGAGGCTCTCGAGATGAGGTAGTCCTCCAGGCCACCTGCCAAACAAAACGGCTCTTAGGAGCGGGCTCCATCACGAGGGTTAACTGGGGCCAAGTGGAAAAGACCTCGAGCAGCCCCAGCCCTGGTGGCCCACCCCAGCCCCAGCGATGGCCACAAACACAGGGCTATGGAGAACAAAGGTCTGCTCGGGGAGGAAGGGTCCTGCTCACGGTGGGACCCTCCCGTGCAGGAGGACACGAGGGGATAGATCAGACGCACTGCAGCTGGGACCCGAGCCCGGGGGCCCTGGTGAGAGGAGCCCCGGGTGAGAGCTCACCCAGCACCTCCAGCGGCGCCTGGCGCTGGGCATCCAGCAGCTCCAGGTACTGCCCCGCCAGCTGCTGCGCCAGGGCCGAGGTGGGCGAGGCCCAGAAAGGCACCACGGTCTGCCCGTAGGGCTCCAGCGTCAGCCGCAGCTGCGAGGAGTCCCTGGGCCCCGGGAAGGTCTTGGCCACGATGAGGGCGAAGGCAGTGAAGATCAGAGGCACGAGGAACTGCGCCGCCACCATCTTCCAGTTGCGCCAGCTGTACATGGCACGCTTCATGAACATGGCGTAGAACTGCTGGCAGCACAGGTAGAACTGGGAGGGGAGAAATGGAGCCAACGTGAGCCCTGGCCGGCTGTGGACGGCCCCACCAGCCACCCCACCCCACGTGGATGATGGTGGGAACGGCCCCAAAAGCACCTCCCCGTCCTGCCCGCGAGCCCGCAGCTCTCCACCCGAGCCTGTGAAGGGATTAGCAGGGCAGCCACTTGACTCCAGAGCAGCAGGTCAGCTCATCAGACTCCACGGCTTCCCAAGGGGAGGGAGTCACCGCAGGATCTCAGGTGTTAAAAGCGGCTTCAGCCACGACCTTTACCTTCCTCCACCTCCCAGCTGCTGAGGCTCACAAATAGGATCACCCCAACAGGGCTGCCTGCCAAAGCGACCGGGCTGAGGCTCCTGGGAGCTCCCGGCCCAGCCCCTCCAAGCACCTTCTCTGCTTTTTAAGCCCATAAACATCTTTCTCCCCTTCTGCCTTTGAGAGGTGCCCTTGAGAAACGCAGGGAAATCTATGACAGCCATGTAGGCAGCGGGTCACGAAGGGCTGCCAGGGATCTGAAGCACAAGGCTAGAGAGGAAAGGAAGATGGTTTATCTCATCTCCCTGCTGGAAATCTCAAGCGATATAGAACTGCAGCCAAAAATCACTTCAGATCACCTGGGACACCTTCAAGAGGATCTCTGTAGACCTCAAGATTAACACAAAGAGGACAGCAGTGACCAGCCCCAACAACCCAAAAAATAACTTGCTCTAAAGACACAGACTCCAGTTTGATCTTCCAAACCACATGCAATGAGGCTCCACCCTGCTCCAAACGCCCCCTCACATGCCCTGTCCCCACTCCCCGTGTGGCAACACCCCGGCACTCACCCCGGTGTTGAGCTTGATGCTGGAGCAGTCCTCTGTGATGAGTGCCCCGCTGTCATCCGTCATATCTGTCATGCCACTCAGGCTGCTGGAGTCATCCATGGCCCAGTCGTTGGAGCGTCTCTCGTGCTGGTACTGGAGAGCAGGCAGCTGGATGGCCTGGATATCCATGCTGGAATCCACAAGTTTCCCAACCCTAGGCCAGGAAGGAGAGCAGGTGATGAAAGAGAGACCCGGACAGAGAGGCCGAGCTGGTCTGAGCTGGGGAGGCCAAGCCCCAGAGACAAAACTGGTGTAGGACAGCACCGTCACCGAGCACACGGGGACTGGTGACCACCAGATGACACCCCAGCAGGGCAGCCCCCCTCCTGCCTACCTCAGGAAGACCTCCTCCATGGTGGTGACCGAGGCGCCGTAGCTGGCAATGCCCAGCTCCTCCCGCCTCTGCTCCAGCTCTGTGAAGAGGGCCTCAAACCTGAGGAGAAGCGACCAATCGGACACCCACGCCAAGGGACAAGGGGGGGTGGTTTGAAACTAAAAGAGGGAGATTTACACTAGAGAGAAGGAAGAAATGTTTGACACTGAGGGGGGTGAGCCCCTGGCCCAGGCTGCCCAGAGAGGTGGTCACTGCCCCATCCCTGGAACCATCCCAGGGGAGGTTGGCCGGGGCTCTGAGCACCCTGCTCTAGCTGGGGATGTCCCTGCTCCCTGCAGGGGGTTGGACTGGATGGCCTTGAAAAGTCCCTTCCCACCAAAACCAGTCTAGATTCTATGACTCTATGCCCAGCAACCGGCGCTGTCCCTGCAGCTGCTGCACAGGCAGTGCCATGGGGGCAGGAGAGCGCCGTGCCAGCAGGCACAGGGGAGGACAGTGGTGACAGGAGGAACTGAACTCGGCTCTCCAAGGCCAGTGCTGACGCAGAGAGCAGGTCCCCTTCCCAGCAAGCCCGTGGGGACAGCGTGTGCCCCGGCGTGTGCCAACGAGGGGACCCGGCCGGGGATGCTGCTGTTACCTGTGGGTGCTCTCCTTGGGCAGGATGAAGGACAGCTCTGCCCCGGCGTTGCTCTCCATGGTGGCGTTGGGCACGTACTGACAGATGAGGCGGGAGATCTCCCCCAGGTTACAGTAGGGCTCCTTCACCATCACCATGTGATATCCAGCCCCTGGGCAGAGCCGAGGGAAGGGGGAGGAAGGTGAGGCCCAGCCCAGCCCTGGGGGGCTGGGGCAGGGAGGTGTAATGGTTTGAAACCTGCT